CCCAGCCGGCCAAGCCGCTGGGTTCCCAGGCTCCACGCCACCCAGCGCGCCTGCAGGGGTGGCGTGGGCGGCCGGGCCGGGCCACAGCCCTCAGCCGTCAGGAGGGCGTGCCTGGCTTTTGAGCCGGCCTCATAATTCAACCGACGTTTTTACACAAGCGGTTTGTTGTCTGAAGGGCTGGAACCCCTCAGCACAAAACTATGCTCCGACAGATCCTCATCAAAGCCTTATCTGCCAAATAGCATCGCTGGCTCGGCGCGGGGAGGCCGGCGGCCAGAAATGTCATGTTTTTATGCCGTGGAAGGCGCTTTGAACTTCAAGGGAGCCTGCATCAGATGGGAGGCAGCTGCTGTGCGAGATATATTACATCGACTTTGCAGCAAGCACATGTGAGCACTGAAGTGCAGCCCCGGCCTTGGTCTTAAAGGATCACGCTCTGAGCGATTTCAGAAACCCAAACCGCCCGGGCGCTGCCATTAGCTCATTAACTCCAGGTCAAGAAGGTGACCCCCACCCCGCCCCCGGGGCGCAGCACCCCGAGCCCAGACCCGGGAGCCCAGGGCCGCCGTTCCCACCCCACATCCACCCCGGGGAGAGGAGGGCTTCCGCCTGGGACCATGTCGCACCTTTGCAGTCATTGTCCTCCGTGAGCTCATAGCCCGTCCCGCAGCTGCTGTCCCGCTGGCAGCGGAACGAGCCCACGGTGTTGATGCAGGACTCGCCGAGCCGGCAGCTGTGGGTGCGCGTGATGCACTCGTTCACATCTAGGAGAGACGGGCAACGTGGTGTCAGCAGCAGGAACAGCGCTTTCTCACAAGGAAAGTTCCAGAAGGCAGAGCGGGTGGGTCCCTGCTCCCATCCAGTCCCCACGCCTGCGCGTTCGAGCTGGGCACTGGGTGGGAGTCCCGGGCACCCACCACGGGAGCAAAGCCATGGGGTGTCTCCCCTGGTAAGTTTCTGATCAACTGCTCCTGCTGAGCAAAGAGCCAGGCCAGGCGGAGTCCTGTGCCTTCAGAACATAGAAGGGGCCCGTCTCCTGACAGGGGCTGAGGGGGGCTGCGGGAGGCTGAGGGGGGCTGCGGGAGGCTGCGGGAGATGCCCAGGCCACTCAGCAGATCCGGGATTCAGAGCCCGATCAGACCCCACACCCCACCCCAGTTCCCAGCACGGTGTTCATGTTCGCCCGGCACGTGGTACAAACACCAAGGATGCTGGGAAGCCGGCCCGGGGCTGTTCCCCAGGAACGGGCCCCGAGTTGTACAGAGTGGGACCTGCCCGGATGTCAGTAGAAGCAGAGGCCCCCGGGGGCAGCGGCCTGCTGTCCTGTCCCCGGAGCTCGGCGACGTTACCTTCACAGGAGACGCCGTCGGCCAGCAGCTGGTAGCCCACAAAGCACGAGCAGACGACCTCCTCTCCGGTGTCACGGCACTGCTGCTTACATGGCCCGCCGCCTGCAACCGGACAGACGTGAGCTGCGGGCCGCACGCCAGACCCACGGTTCCCAGCTCTGCCCTCGGTGACTGACAGAGACAGGCAGGCTGCAGCCACCGCCTTCCCACGGGGGACCCCAGGGTCTGGCTCTGGGTACCCCCACGGTGGGCTCTGTCATTGCAGCAGAGCTGGGAGGGGCAGGGCAGACAAGAGGGGGCGCTCCCACCCGGCAAGGATATCAAGGGCCCAGGCCACACAGGGAGGCGGGCACTGGAGAGGCCCCTTCTGTCCCCACGTCTCCGAGGCCAGCCCGGCCCCAGTCCCACTCCCACTGAGCTCAGCCCGCTGTCACTCCCAGCCCCGAGCCCTGACCGCCTCCGAGGGCCCAGGCCACACAGGGAGGCGGGCCCTGGAGAGGCCCCTTCTGTCCCCACATCTCCGAGGCCAGCCCGGCCCCAGTCCCGCTCCCACTGAGCTCAGCCCCGCTGTCACTCCCAGCCCCGAGCCCTGACCGCCTCCGCCAGCAGGATGCCCAGAGCAAGTGGGCATTTGGAGATCTGAGGACGAACCTCTACCAGGCACGAACCTCTACCAGGCACAATCCTCCCGGTACAGTCTGACTGCCCGGCACCTGGGGCCGCCCCTGCGCCACAGAGCAAGTCTCCTGAGGACGAACCTCCACCAGGCACAATCCTCCCGGTACAGTCTGACTGCCCGGCACCTGGGGCCGCCCCTGCGCCAGCCCCCCGCACCCGTCTCCACTCCCGACGCCCCAATCCCCTGGCGATGTGACTTTCCCTCTAACCGACCCTCACCCATAGCAGCTGTCCTCCCCCGGGAGACCCTCGATGCCCCCCGCCGCCCTCAGCAGATCCGAGGCTTCCTGGGCCCCGCCCTCCTGTACAGCGACCGCACCACTTGGCGATGAACTGGCTCCCTAACCAGCAGCCCAGCCACAGGGCAGCTGCTGCGTGAGCCTGGGAGCGACCTGCCCTCTAGACCTGCCCTAATGGTCCGGGAAAGAGAAATGCCGTTTAGCATGAAAACAGACTTGCAAGGCCTGGCCACTGACAAATGGGTATTAGCGATGGCTCAGTGGGGCCAGGTGACACCCCTCCCCGAGGGCTCCCGCCTCGAGCAGCTGTGTGCTTGTGTGCTCGCTGAGAGCCTAGGAGGTGGCTCAGGGGCAGGCGGGCACTGTGGGCGGAGGGGTTCTAACAGCAGCTTCCCCCCAGCTTCCTCTCCAGGCCACCCTGGCTCCCTAACCAACAGCCCAGCCACAGGGCAGCTGCTGCGTGAGCCTGGGAGCGACCTGCCCTCTAGACCTGCCCTAATGGTCCAGGAAAGAGAAATGCCCGTGTAGCATGAAAACAGACCTGCAAGGCCTGGCCACTGACAAATGGGTATTAGCGATGGCTCAGTGGGGCCAGGTGACACCCCTCCCCGAGGGCTCCCGCCTCGAGCAGCTGTGTGCTTGTGTGCTCGCTGAGAGCCTAGGAGGTGGCTCAGGGGCAGGCGGGCACTGTGGGCGGAGGGGTTCTAACAGCAGCTTCCCCCCGGCTCCCTCTCCAGGCCCTAGCGAGGAGGGAGGAAGCAAAGGAGCCAGGCAGAGGACAGTGACCCAGTGGACTCCCAGCCAGCGGGCAGCTCCAGGTGAACCTGAGCGCCACCCGCGGTCAAGCTCCTAAGCAGACAGCCCTGACTCTGCCTCATTGCCGGCCACACGGCCGGAGGGACAGCTCACCTCGGCAGCGGTCATTCAGGTACGGGTCCTCTTGCTCCTCCTCCGCCTCCGAGAGCTTAGCTGCGGGCGGCACAGGCAAGGACACGT